GTGTGTATTATACCAATATATTCCTCTTGCTGTACAGGGTTGGATTGCTAACTCGAGAGGGTTGTAACTTGACGAGATGGAGCCTCCTACCAGGGGATCTTTTCAGGGTTTTTTTCCTGGTTAGCTATGACTGTGGTTTTGTTACCTTCTAGCTGCTGCTCTACGATGGTGTAACTCCTTTGCTGTAGTTTTTATTTTTCACTTGAGTTGTGTATTTCTTGCACACAGGGTGTGATGCAAAATAAAGTTTATGTTGATGTTTTTGCGAATAACTGGTGTTGTTGTTCTTTTTTGCTTTATTGCACACTGGTGATGATGAGAGTAGTAGTATTGAGGCAACGCAGAGACGAAAGTGTGTGCTGTCTGTTGCACTGTCGCCTCTCTTGCAGTGGTTTTCTCTAGTGTCTGAAGGGGAAAGGAGGGGAGATGGTGAACCCACCAGGAGACCCTTTGTTAATGTTAACATTTTTGTGCATGATGGAAAGGGAATGGGATTGTTTCTTTGTTGTTTCTTTTAATACAGAACAGAAGAGAAAGCATTGTCAAAGAAAATCAACTGGACAACCCGTTGGAACGATGTGGATGAAATAAAAGATAAAAGAATGGAATTGTGTTTGTGGGATGCATTGCAGTGGTGTTCCTCAGTGGAGAGTGGTGTTGCACGCACTCTGTGACCACCCAAACATGAACATGTACTTGATATCTGCGTTGTGGTGAATGAAGGAGTCTTCTTCACTGCTGATTGAGTATTGATACTGGATTGAACACAACTCATTGTGCATGAGATGGCCCTTATCTTGCAGGATAACAGAATGTGGGAAGTAAACTACTGTGCAATGACACTGAATGGAAACCCATGCTGCATATTTTGAGTTAAATACAGTGTACATACAAATTGCTTTCCCTTGGTAACATGAGTCTCGTATTCTTGTAGATTGTGTGTTTGTGTGTGTGTCACTCAGTGTAAACTGTTTCCTGTGTAGTTTTACAGACATTTCATCCATTTTCTCTCTTTTCTTTTTCTTTTTTTTCTTGGTGTTGCAGAAGCGTGTGAGTAGTAAAAAAAAAAAAGATTGACAAGAGAAGGAGAAAAAGAATGAATGTCCATGCGATGAATGAAGTGGAAGAATTCGCAGGTGTGGAACACGCGCATGGTGAAGTGACGTCAAGAAGAGAGGGAGAAAATGATCCTGATCAACCTCCAGCGGTACGTGCAAGGGTGGAAGTTGTACCTCAACCCAAGTGGACATTGAACAGTAGAGTCAGGGAAATACTGTTAGATGAAGTAAATCTCC